AAATAGCCAAGTACTGTAAGCAACCTAAGTGCCCATCAATAAATTAGTGGATCAAAAACTGTTTCATTTACACAATGGAATACCATGCAACAGAAAGAAGGAGGGAACTCCTAGCCTTCAAGACAGTATGTATGGAACTGCAGAGTAGTATTCTAAGTGAAATAAGCTAGGCAACAAAAGACAAATACCATATGATCTCACCTATGAGTGAAATCTAATGAACAAAACAAACAAGCAAACAAAATAGAACCAGAGACATGTAAATAAGGAACATTCTGTAAATAGTGACTAGAGTGGGTGGATGGAGGGAAAGTTGGGGAGAGAACAGGAAAAGTCTGGTCAAGGAACATGTATGAAGGACCAATGATAACGAACAACCAGATGGAGATTTACTGATGGAATGGTGAGTGGACAGGGCAGGGGAGAGCCAAAAGGAAAATAACTGAGACAATTGCCATTGAACAACAACAAAAACAAATAATATTTCTTAAAGGTTTACTATCACACATGATTTCTTAAAACAATGCTAACTCTCAAAAATAGTATCTACAACACTAAACTCCCTGAAATTTATTTTTTAACTTGAATTAGATGAATTTTTACATGACATAACTTCATAATTATGAAATGAGTGAGCTGAGTCAACAGAAGAAAACTCACAAAGGAGCAGCTAGTCCAACAAAGACCTCTGGGCTCTCTGAAACTTCTGAAAACTAACTGGCATCCTGGAGCCTGAGATAGGAACCAGACCCCATGGACCCTGCATCCAGATTCCACAATCCATGTATTAGATGCCCAACTCTCTATCTGGAACTCTGCCCTTCCTTCCAGACAACAACCTGAAAAGTCTCCACAAGCACATCCCCCTCGTGGCCCCCTCATGGCTCAGCTAAGGACCAGGACAGGGGGTGCTTAAGGAAATGCATAGGCTACAGAAAAATAAACCAATTAACCATCCTCTGACAAAATGAGAACTAAATTCCAGAAGCACTGCCCAAATAAATCTTGGCTGGTTAATCCAGACTCTCTTGGCTGTACTGGGGCATAAATTTTTATGACTTCTCTTTATAGGCACCTGTTGGAAACCTGTCTTTGTTAAGGTTGTACAGCTGTTTCAAGGAACCACCCAATCTAGGAAGGACTGAGTTAATTCACCTTAATTAAGCTTCCCCTGCTGATAAGAATGAGATTATTCTGAAGGCCAAAAATCCATTATCTCTTTTTTTCAATCTATCTAAAAGTATGTTCCCCTTTCAGTCTGCAATAGGTCCTGATTTGGAAAATAAATTACATGGCTATCATAAAATAAAACAAAACAAAACAAACAAAACAAAACTGTAGTTTGTTCTCCTCTCCACCTTGCCTAACATACTTATAAGTACACTTAATATATTATGTTCAGTGTCATCCCCATGAGAAAGTAAACTCATATGCAGACATTTTTTCTCCTTTATTTACTGAGGAACCTAAAGTTCTATAGAAGTCTTCCTCTTGAGTAGTGACACTGAGACTGGCCTGAAGGTAGAAATAACTTTCCAAGAAGATCTTTTAAAAATTAAAGTTTACCTATACAGTCCGTATATGACTCCTCCCTGAGCCCAAGGCAATGACTAGACCTTCCCCCTTTCCTCATTGCATAACTCAAGCAAAGTAATTTATTAAAAATGGCATGCTTCTTTTAAATAGGACATTTATGGGAGTTATTATATTCTTATGTAATAAAGCATTCTTGATACTCGAAAGCATCGAGTTCAAGGAAGTGGTAACAGAACCAAGTATGGGGAGACCTGGATTTTCATCCATCTATCCAGCATTTAGTCAACATTTACAATGTGTTAAATGAAGATGACTGACAGTTTGTTCATTCTTAAGAAGCTCACTGTTTAGTTGTGTGCATCTGAGTTTCAAAAAATAATTATTATAGTAAGTGCATTAGGAGATATCTGAAAAAAATATAGCACTGATATAAGTGAGCATGTAAAGGTCAATAGAAATACAATATAACATTTGTTTCAGAAATTATACTATGGAAGGAATGTGGACAAGACCACAGCAACAGTCTATATGAGAGACAAGTCCAACTTTAACTAAGATAAGGGCCAGGAGGATGTGCAGGAGATGATGAACTGGGTGGCAGGGTGTATTGTTGTACAATTCATCAAGTGAACACTGGATATTGTGGATTTCCCCTGCACTATATTGAGCCTACCTGATAAGGTTATTGAGAACTAATATCTTTATTCAAATTTTATCATGAGGATTTGAGGCTTAGAGTGGTTAAGAAACTTTTTTAGGCACTTTCAGCTAGGTATTGAGAATTGTGATTTAAGCTCAAATGCCTGATTTAAAGCCTGAGCAGCCTACAGAGTGATTTGGCCTAATTGTAACATATGATGGCGTGGCCTGCCAAGAACACACAGGTAAATATGTACCATCAGCACCCAGAGATACTGGAGGCTATATAGCACAGGCTGGTATCCTTGAGGTTAAAGTCAAGGGAGTGAAGATTAAAGGGACACTCATTAGTGTGGAATGGCTCAAATAAGTCATTAAGACAGACTTAAAATGTCCACTGATTCTGGCCATTTGGAAGATACTTAATGACCTGTCAAGTCAATTTGATTCTAGTGGCAAACATGGAAGCTACGATGAATAAATTTAGGAATAAATAGGAGATAGAGATGAGGAGATAATAGGTATAAATTTCTCTGGAAAAACATGGCTGTGAAGAGAAACAGGTAACATCTGGTGGAGGAGGAAAGGTCCAAGGGAAGCATTTTTTTTTCAAGTATGGGCAGACCTGCATATGCAGGAATGGGATGCACTAAGAAAGAGGATGAATATCCAGGGAGACAAAATCTAACTAATGAAGCATTAGTTAGGAAGGAACACTCAAGTTGGAAGAATGAGCTTTTGAAAGTGGGCTTTTCACATCTGGCAATCCTTGGTTTTTTCCTTAAAACTGAAGGCAAGAACCCATGGACAAAGCCAAAGCGGGGTAGGATTGAGAGTGGGGCGGGGGAGAGTGGTGGGAGGAAAATGGAGAGAACTGTACTTGAACAACAATAAAAACAAAAACAAAACTGAAGGCGGAGGGAAGAAAGTAGGAGTGGATTAGGTTGCCTGAAAAACATAGTAAACGCCTAATACAGCATCTGTGCATATAGAAAGGAGAGAATGCTGCTGAGCAATGTCTCATGAAAGAAATGTCCAATGTAGGTGGGACATTTTGCTTTCACTTCAGAAATACACTAGGGGGCAGACATTTCCTGAGAATCTCTGCACACGCTTAGACTTGGGAGTTGTAGTAGAATCCAGTCAGGGTTGGAACCATGGTGGTGACCAAGGAGCTCTCACGGATGGACTTGTACACGCTGCTTGGTATTGAGAAGGAGATGCACAAGGAAGTGAAAAAGGAATATAGGCAGAAGACCCTCTCCTGCCACCCAGAGAAAAATCCAGATAATCCCAGAGCAGCTGAACTCTTCCACCAGCTTTTTCAGGCCTTGGAGGTACTGACCAATGCTCCAGCCAGGACTGCATATGACAAGCTCAGGAAAGCCAAGAAGCAGGCAGCAGAAGAGACTCAGAAACTAGATAAGAGAAGGAAGAAAGTAAAGCTTGACCTGGAGGCCCAGGAGCGGCAGGCTCAAGCCTAGGGCAGTGAGGACAAGGAGAACTGGAGCACCAGAACACTAAAGCAGGTGATGGAAAGCTTGCTAGAGGAGGGTTCCCGGCAGCTGGAGGAACAGCAGAGGCTGATCCAGGAGCCGATGTGCCAGGAACGGGAACAGAAGTTGAGAGGAAAGGCAGAAAATCCTGAAGACAAAGAAACTCCCAAGCTAAAGCTAAAATGGAAGTGAAAGGAGAATGAGTCAGAGGTGGTTACTCCAGAGATGTCCTCCTGTGGCTTTTTCAGAAGTATGGCTGGGGGGTGGGCTGGGATGGAAGTAAAAGGCAGTAAACTGTACTTGAACAATTAAAAATTTTTAAAAATCAGTTAAAAAAAAAAGAAGTATGGAGAGGTGCTCAACCTGGTGCTTTCCAACAAGAAGGCAGACACACACGGCTGTGGTGGAGTGTGCAACTGTCAAGGCTGCAGAACTGGCTGTCCTGAATGAAGTGGGCCTGGTCAATAACCCTCTGAAGATTTACTGGTTGGAGGTTCGGCGCCAGGGCAAGGAGGGCCCAGCCACCCAAGACTGGCACAGGACTCCGTGGTGTCTGAGAGGGACTTCGAAAGCCTCGTCATGATGCGCAAGCACCAAGCAGCTAAGTGGCTGCAGCAGATTGCCCAAATGCAGCAGAAGGACATGGTGGAGCAGCCCACGTAGATCCAGTCCTGCCACCTCACAGCTTTTTTCTTAAACCTCACCAATAAACTTTTAAAAAAAGAAGAAAAGAAGAAAAAATATACTACGGGAGTTTCTGCAGAGAAAACTCTGGAATCAATTAAGGCCAGGCTCACTACTTACAGTTCTGTAACTTCTTGGATCTCCTCAAAGATCTACCGGAGAACACACAGTGGACCCTCCCCCGAGATCAATCACAGAAAGCGTGCTGCTGCGTGCACTCTTCCTGATTCAAACGTGTCCTGGCAAAAAGGCCAGGTGAGGTGATTTGGCGTGGTGTGACAGTCTATGTTTTGGGACAACACTGCCGTCGTGGCAGCTTTAATGGCGTCCTTCCGGGTCCCAAAGCGTTAGAAGAAACTTCAAAATCCCAGTCCCCCAGAGCCTGAGGGTAGATAGGCAGATAACCTAAGCTGCCAGGCTTTAGAGAAGGCAACCTCCCAAGCTCACTCGTCCATCTTTTTTGTTCCTTCCCGCACGGGAGTCTCAAAGTACGAGTGCCAGTGCTTCCGGGGCCACTGCGTAATCACCAACCCAGGGCGCGCTGTAAGAGGAGAGGGAGGACACCAAGGGAACGGGAAATAACGCAGTACGGGTGGGACGGACTGGCTAGATTGAGGAGGGCTATGGGTACCGAGAAGCAGTTACCTCCAACATGCCTTTTCTACTCGCCCCAGCGGTGTCGATGAGTGTGTTGTCCAGGTCAAAGAAAACGGCCCTGACGCTTAGCCCCATCCCATCAGCAAGCAAGACTCTCCACCTCCCCTCCCCCGCAGCCAGCGCAAGCAGAAGGCGCTGTGCTAGACCCGTGGGTGGAGCTCCACGGTCACCTGACCCTTTCTTGCGGCCCAGCGAGTAAAATGCCTGGAAAAAGCGAGATCTCAGATACTCTAGAATAGCCCTTAGGTTGTAGGAGGTAGGCATTTGCGGTACCGTGACCAGTTGTGTGAGCAGCTCTAAAAAGCTAAGAAGCGCAGGTCTGTGGCCTGTTAGGAATCAGTGGCAAGCAAAGCTCCTAGGAGCTCCTCCCCGCCTTCTCTGGACTTTCCCCCATCCAAAGCCAGTGAGAGGGAGCTCGCCTGAGCTCTGCTTCCTTCTCCCCACCCCCAGCCGTTTTTCTAAGAAACCCGTCCCTGGTGCCAAAAATGTTGGGGACCCCTGGGTTAGAGCATAATGTCATCCTGATACACCAAGGTTGTGGGATTTATCCAGGGTGAAAATATATATAAGTATTTTTTAAAATATGTTTTATTGATTATGCTATTATAGTTATGCCATTTCCCCCATTTATTCCCCTCTGCCCTGCACACCCCCTCCCACCCACATTACCCCCCTTTAGTTCATGTCCGTGGGTCATACATATAAGTTCTTGGGCTTCTATATTTTGTATACCATTCTTAACCTCCCTGTGTCTATTTTCTATCTACCATTTCCCTACTTATTCCCCGTACCTTTCCCCCCACCTCTCTCCCATTCTTCTGCTGATAACCCTCCATGTGATCTCCATTTCTGTAATTCTGTTCCTGTTCCAGTTGTTTGCTTAGTTTGTTTTTGTTTTTATTTGTTTTTTTAGGTTCAGTTGTTGATAGTTGTGAGTTTGTTGTCATTTATAGTTCATAGTTTTTTATCTTCCTCTTTTGTTAGATAAATCCTTTTAACATTTCATATAATAAGGGCTTGCTGATGAACTCCTTAAACTTGACCTTATTTGGGAAGCACTTCGTCAGCCCTTCCATTCTAAATGATAGCTTTGGTGGGGAGGGTGGGAGGTGGGACTGGATTGGGAGTAAAAAGGAGAAAACTGTATTTGAACAATGATTAAAATAAAAATAAATAAAAATAAATAAATAAATGATAGCTTTGCTGGATAGAGTAATCTTGAATATAGGTCCTTGCCTTTTGTGACTTGGAGTACTTCTTTCCAACCCCTTCTTGCCTGTAAGGTTTCTTTTGAGAAATCAGCTGATAGTCTAATAGGAATTCTTTGTAGGTAACTGTCTCCTTTTCTCTTGCTGCTTTTAAGATTCTCTCCTTATCTTTGATGTTGGGTAATGTAATGATGATGTGCCTTGGCGTGTGCTTCCATGGGTCCAACTTCTTTGGGACTCTCTGACTTCCTGGACGTCTATTTCCTTTACCAGATTGGGGAGGTTATCCTTCATTATTTTTTTCAAATAAATTTTCCATTTCATGCTCTTACTCTTCTCCTTCTGGCGCCCCTATGATTCAGATGTTGGAATGTTTAAAATTGTCCTGGGGGTTCCTAAGCCTCTCCTAATTTTTCAGAGTCCTTATTTCTTCATTCTGTTCTGGTTGAATATTTCTTTCTTCCTATTGTTCCAACTTGTTGATTTGTGTCCCTGTTTCCTTCCCTTCATTCTTGGTTCCCTGTACATTTTCCTTTATTTCACCTTTCATAGCCTTCATTTTTTCCTCTATTTTGCAACCATACTCAACCAATTCTGTGAGCTTCCTTATTACCAGTGTTTTGAACTGTGCATCTGATAGGTTGGCTATCTTTTTGTCACTTAGTTGTATTTTTTCTGGAGCCTTGATCTGTTATTTCATTTGGGCCATTGGTCTGGGTATGCCTGTTATGTAGTGAGGGGCGGCACCTTAGGTGTTCACCAGGGCAGGGCAACCTAAGACTCTGTTATGATGCTATCAGTGGGGGGAGGGGTCCAAGAGGGAACAGTGCTGCTTGCTCCACTCTCTGCTGGCTTTCAGTCACTTTGCCACTACCCACAAACAAATTGGACCCTTCTGGTGCTGATTCCTGGATAGGTGGGTTTGTGTATGGTCTAGGACCCTGTGGGTCTCTCCAACAAACTCTCCTCTGATGCTGGGAGTTTCTCCCACTGCCACAATACCAACAGGTTTTTTCAAGCAAGGGTTTTGAAGCTTTATTTCCTCATGCTGGAAACCTGGGTTTTGCGGTCAGTCTAGCACCCCAGTTCTTCCTCCTGGTTTATCTGCATGCAAATGTGGGACCGCCCAGTCTGCCAGCTGCCACCTCACCTGCCCCTCCAGCCACCACCTGACTGAGAGTCCTCTCAGCCCTGGCTGCCTGTCTCTCCTACCAGTCTGGATAAATGTTTATTCTTTAAGTCCTTGGTTGTTGGACTTCTGTACAGTTCAACTTTTCGTCAGTTCTTGTTTTTTGTTTTTAAATTTCTTGTCCTTCTTTTGGTTGTGCGAGGAGGCACAGTGTGTCTATCTATGCCTCCATCTTGGCCAGAAGTGCAGTGTATACACAATATTAAACAACAAATTGATGTTCCTCTTTTCTTCTGTCTAAAAAACTTAAGTGAGTTTTTCCTACTTTGTAGCTACTTTCTGCTTATCTTTAAAATTTTTATTTATTGATTAGAGAAAAAGACATCAATTTGTTGTTCCATTTATACATTTATTGGATCCTTCTTGTCATTCATTGGTTGATTCTTGTATGTGCCCTGCCCTTGGGGATGGAACCTGCAACCTTGGTGTATCAGGACAATGTTCTAACCGACTGAGCTACCTGGCTACGTCCTCCACTTACCTCTTTTTTCCTTTTGCTGTCCAGGTGTGAGAAAGATGCCATAACTGGGACAGGGGTTGAGGGGTGAGGAGGTGGGGAGTGGGTTCTGTGCCATCTGGCATCTGGGAAGGAGACTGAGAAGAAGCTGGATTTTTCAGTTAAGCAGGCAGGATATTGCACAGGGAGCTGCTGGCATCTCTGAAATGTTTGTTTTAAGTCAGAATGTGAGTGTGTGTATGTGTGTGTGTAGTATCCTAAGCTTGCAGCCACATGAAAAGTCACCATTAGTAACAGAAGCATTAAAAATATCCACATTTGTAAGGAATTTTTATGAGTTTATTTGAGCCAAATTGACAACAGTTGTGGGGAAGCAAAATCCCAACAGATTAAGAAAAGACTCTGGAGAATGGCAGTTTTGCAGCTTATTTTACACATTAGAGTAAAAGGGGGAAACATAACAATGTTTACATAAAATTCATTGGTGGTAGGTTAAGGGAGCAGAAGAAAACAAAGCAGGGAAATCTTAGGGATTGGATTTTTCTGTAAAATTTTTCTATACAATAAATTTTCTATACAATAATTCTATACAATTTTCCTATATAAATTTATTACAACTCCATTACCTGAAAAGAGAGGTTTGCCTTCTGGTTTAAAGTTTTTTCAGAATGGGGCTTTGCTAAGTTATAGGGATAAAATAGTAGCAACCAGAAGAGATTCTCATGGACTCCCATTTTATCTACCCAGCTGTCATCATCTGTACCCACCCATCCTGTCTGATAACCTTAAAGAACCATCTCTGCTGCCTTCTGTGGCCATTCCTTTCAGTTCCCTATATCCCCACCCCTATTTAGGGACATTTTTCAGCAGTTCTTCCCTCCTCTCTTTTGTATAATAAATCTCTTTGCACCTTCCTTTCAAAGTGAAAGACAACACCATTTATTTGCAATCCAAGAGTAGCTATTTTGGATGAACTGATCTAGGCAGAAGCTCAAATAGTGTTCCAATTAGAAGAAAAAAGCAATGGATATTTATGAAAAGGGGAAGGGGGACAATTACATCAATAGGAGGAAGGCATTTCTGTTGGTGCAGATAATATAGTGATGTTAATTCTAAATAAGGTTTTACATATTCAGTTCAATGGCTGTCAATTTAATAGTCATAATATTTGCTTTCCTGTTACCTTTGTGAACAGTTCTTTAGAGCACAAGGTTTCTTTAGGCCCAGTCCAAATATTATTTTGCGTATTTTTAACATTCCAAAGGTTTGAGGCATGACATGCAAGGCATTTTCTCTGAGATAGCACCTCTGGCTCCATTTTATTTATTTATTTATCTATCTATTTCCTTACTTATCTATTTATTTATTGTATCTTCACCTGAGGACATTTTTTTTTCATTGCTGTACAGAGAAAGAGAGAGGGGGAGAGAGAGAGAGAGAATGAGAATGAGAATGCTTGCAATGTAAGAGAAACATTGATTGCTTGCCTTCTTTATGCATCCCAACCAGGGATTGAACCTGCAACCTAGGTATGTACCCTAATCAGGGATCAAAACTGTGACCTTTGAGCTATGGGACAATGCTCTAACCAAGTGAGCCGCAATGGCCAAGACCTTTGCCCATTTTTTAATTGGGTTGTTTGTCTTCCTGGAGTGGAGTCACATGAGTTCTTTATATATTTTGGAAATCAACAAGGTATCATTGGAAAATATAGTTTCCAATTTGTTTGGTTCCTTTTCATTTTTTTTAATGTTTTCTGTAGCCATGCAGAAGCTTTTTAATTTGATGAGGTCCCATTTGTTTATTCTTTCCTTTATGTCCCTGGCTCTTGGGGACTTATCAGTGAAAATGTTTTTTGCATGGGATATCTGAAATTTCCCTGCATATGTTCTCCTCTAGGACTTTTATGGTGTCATGACTTACATTTAAGTCTTTTATTCATCTTGAGTTTATTTATGTGTACAGTGTCAGTTGGTGGTCAAGTTTCATTTTTTTGCAGGTAGCTGTCCAGATCCCCCAACACCATAAGCTGAAGAGGCTATTTTTACTCCATTTTATGTTTCTGCACCCTTTGTCAAATATTAATTGACCATAGAGACATGGGTTTATTTCTAGGCTCTCTATTCTGTTCCATTGATCTATGTGTCTGTCCTTATGCTAGTACCATATTGTTTTGACTACAGTGGCCTTGTAATACAGTTTGGTATCAGGTATTGTGATCCCTCCTACTTTGTTCTTCTCTCTCAAAATTGCTGA